TTGGGCTTTGGAGGAATGCCTGGTTTTGGAGGTGGAGGAGGCGGTGGAGGAGGTGGAGGAGGTGGATTTCCTCCTGGTGGCCCCTCTCAGTTCAATATGCAACCAAACTTCAGTCCACCCATGCATCCTGGGACAGGATTTAATTCCATGTTGTCTCCAGGGGGAATGGGGGGTCCAGGTGGAGGTGGTCCACCCCACCCTCGTTTTGGCATGCCCCCTCAGCAGCAGCACGGACAGGGCGGGCACCCCTTTAACAGCCCACCGTTGCCTGGGGGCGGAGGTCCACGAGGGCCCTTGCCTCCCATGGGAGGAGGTATGGGTCCAGGAATGAACATGATGGGTGGCATGGGAGGTGGCCCTGGTGGCAACATGGTAGGAGGAGGGTTGCCAGGTATGCCCCCTCAAGGACAGTTTCCTCCCTCACAGGATGGCCCTTATCCTGGCCCCAGTCCACCAGGGCCAGGCACTGAAGATGGAAAGAACTTTGGTGGAGGAGGAGGGCCTCCAGGGCCCCCGCAGCAGCAGCAGCAACAACAACAACAACAACAGCAGCAGCTTAACATGAATCCCAACGGTCCCCCGAATACCAACACTACACATGGTCCTCCCTCTAACTCTGGGCCTTCACAACAAGGGGGAGGCTTTCCCGGCCACCCAGACGTACCACAGCCCAGTGCCAACACACCCGGTCAGCCTCCATTGGCCCCATCACAGCCCAACCCCAACTCCTCTCCTACTGGTCCACTGAACGGATCAGGTCAAGCCCAACATCCTCAGTCCAGTCAGTTGCAGCCCCCAAACAACACAAATACCCCAAACTCCAACAACTCCAATATGCAGCAGCAACAATCAACTCCGCCAAATTCTGCAGGGTCCTCCTCCTACAACCAGCAGAACAGCACTCCCGGTTCTGGTGGCTCCCTGTCCAACGCTGCCTCCAATTCAAATCAGAATAACATGACTAACAACAACGGAAGCAACACTCCTGGCAGCAACCCCAACCCTCCCTCAAACTCCACCTCGACCCCTAACACCCAGTCCCCTTTACCTTCTGGACCCACTGCCCCTACAACAGGACCCAGTTCAGGTCCTGGAAAACTTGGTGTGCCCGGTATGGTCTTCCCTTGCGGCCATTGTAGGACGGAGGTACATGACGACCAGGACGCCATCCTTTGCGAGGCTTCTTGCCAGCGCTGGTACCACCGTGACTGTACAGGCCTTACAGAACCGGCATATGGGCTGCTGACGACAGAGAGCGCTGCCGTTTGGGCCTGTGACAACTGCATCAAGAGCAAGGACATACAGGCCGTGATTGTTCGCCAGCCTTTAGGCCAGCTGGTGGCGGCTAACGAGAGCTGAGCAACATTGATTGGACAAACAGACTAACTGAATGAACCGTGCCATGTCACCTTTGTCTCAGCCAGCCCTTCACCCATTCACTACACATAGCGACACACTCATCGACTCTCATGCTTATACGTAGCACTTTGAGTGACTCTTGGCAAATCAATTTTCTTAAACCCCCCACCCCACCTGATTGGAGTTCAGAATCTAAATGAATGTTTTGCCCGCAGGGTCCTTGAGAGATCTGCTTGCCAATCAGCAAAGCACTGACACCAACACACTACCTCAAACAGCTTTTGACTGACTGGCACAGAAACTTGTGCACTGACGGACCGAATGGTGTGTGCGGTGAGATTTCCAGCTCACACTCTCAGAAATTCAATTCAGGCGGGGAACGTAATTTTTAAATGCCCACTTTGTGCTGATAGGAGCTCAGAAGATTACTGATTTTAAATAGGAGAAACCCTGGAACAGCCACCGGAAAGAACAGGGTTCCTACAAAGCTTGAAAATCTCAACTTTTTCCTCTTCATCCATCTTAGTATCCTTGCCTTTACCTTATCTCCTACATTCAGTTTCTTCTTCGCCTCTCCTTCTTACCCTACTTCTGTTTTCCTTTGTGTTTCCTTTCCCATGTCATTTCTTCTTTACTTAAGCCTTTCCCTGTGTACTTTATACTTTTATCCTGTCCTGTGTGACTCGATTCCTGCCATCATTTATTCTGTGCTTCCTTTCTGTTCATGTATGTCTTTGATCTCTAGTGCCATCTTTTTTTATCCCTCCATCTGCCCATCCAATCTTTCCATGCATTAAAAGTTCAATTAAATGTCTATATCTTAAAATTATCTAAAAGGATTAGAGACATGGATTTTTTTTACTCTCTAAATCTGAGGTATATGTAGGAACCCTGTATAATGGTCTCATGAATTTGCAGTTTAATTTCTACAGAAATGCTTCAGTTCACCACTGCCCTTTCACATTGTTGGCCTTTTACTGAGAGCAAGGGGAAAAACTGAAAACAATATATGAGTATATGGCAGTATAAACATGTCAGTATTAAGTGTTTTGTGGAATCTAAATCTTACATGCACATGCTTTAACCCTGCTTACTGCATCATTCTGTATCCAGTGCTGGTTATTCCAAAGGACTACAAGGTCGGGATCTCATCCACGTTTCACAAAGGATCTCGCCACCCACTAAAAAAGAAACATAAAACATAAACTTGTAAATATACGGACAAAATATTTGTCTAGAGTTCCCATCACTTGTGAACAAGTCGCAGAGTCAAACCGGTGATCAAAAAAATGATGAGTTAAATTTATGTGTCTTGGTTGTGTACATGGTGTTTTGGGTTTTATACGGTCTTCTTTTTTTTATCTGCAGTGCTCATGAGATTGTGAATCCAGTGCTTTTGCACGGTGTTGGCATAGCAAGTAGTGACATGTCTCATTTCACAATGTGCATAGTCCTTAACAAAACTAGTGGTGGGAGATGCATGCGATCCAATGCAGCAACTGTCTATTATTTTCAGGATTCTGCCCTGCAGGAAACCTTGAAGTAGACCAAATACCTGAAGAGGAAAGAAAATTACTAATTTTTACGTTTCTCTTGCAGTATAAGGTGTTTATATCTTCTTCTTTCTTGTCATTTTTTTCTTTATTACATGTCCGAGTTGCCTTTCTTTTGATGCTATCATTCGTTTCCTTTTTTTTTGTACTGCTATTTGTGCTGTGCTCTTGCTCTGCTTTGGTGCCTCCTGGTGGAACCAGCAGGTGCTACATGCGGTGGGGAAGTGAGAGGTACTAAACTCTGAAGTAAAGAACGTTTGTTTTTTTGCCATCTTGTCATGTCTGGTTTGTCACTTCTACTTTGATTACATTCTAATCAATGTTAAAACCTATAAATTGTTGCTTTGCCATCTATATTGATGATGGTACTGAACTTGTTATGTTTCGGTCTGTCGTTTAGCAGAAGATGGGCCAATCAGGCATTGATTAGCCAATACCTATTTTTCTGTCATATTATGGTCTGAACAACCAGTGTGCTGTTTTAGCTTTTTTTGCCCAAGGACTAACATATAAACTTGTGTAAACCATGTTTTTAGCTTTAAAGCAGCAAAAAATAAATAAGCTTCAGTTTCCTGTAAGGAGGCTTACAATAAAGTAACTAAAAAATATTCCTGTTTTTGTTTCTAAGCATATATAAAAAGATGGGAGATTTCTGGGGTTTTTTTCATTCAATAAGAAAATCTGACCAATTTTTTGTCTGTTTGGAGCCAATTAAAGCTAATTGATCTTCCACTGATTTTTAGAAATCATCCAATTAATTTTGTATAGATAAGGTGATTAAATGTAGTTTTAGTCTATTAATCTGCTATTTAACATGCCTTTTTAAGTGACATCAGGAGACAACAGTTCCTGTAAAAATAAATTTTAAGGAGAATATTAAAGGAATAGTACACCCAAAACATGATTAGCCTTCATTTTCTACTCACCCCCATGCTGAACAACACTCTGGAGTACTTTTTTGATATCTCAAATGCATCTGGAGATCTGGGAGGCTTCTTGCTGTCTGCTGACATTCAAATAATGGAGGTCTATGGCGCCCGAGGCAGAAAGGTCCATAAAAGTCCACAAAAAACATGTCAATATTCCTCCATACTGCTCGTCCAATGTATTCCAAGTGTCCTGAGTGGGTAGCATCCAGAATTTACTCGAAACGAAGTCATTTAGAATGTTTTTAGAGCATAAACAGTAGTGTATAGGATTTCCTAAAAGCGCGTTCACGAGTCTACGGAAACCGCGGCAGACCAAACCAGACGAAAGTGCGCATTCAGCTCGGCAAAGAACTCATGCTCTTCCTAAACACTGAAGTCCTCAGACATTTTTCTTTCGTTGTTTCTTTCTTTGCACAGGCAAACAGCACATTTCTTCTTCTACGCTTGCATTATCGGCAGAGCAGACGCTGAATGCGCACTTTCATCTTTTTTGGTCTGCCGCGGTTTCCGTAGACTCGTGAACGCGCTTTTGGGAAATCCTATACACTACTGTTTATGCTCTAAAAACATTCTAAATGACCTCGTTTCGAGTAAATTATGGACGCTACCCACTCAGGACACTTGGAATACATTGGACGAGCAGTATGGAGGAATATTGACACTTTTTTGTGGACTTTTAAGGACCTTTCTGCCTCGGGCGCCATGGACCTCCATTATTTGACTGTCAGCAGACAGCAAGAAGCCTCCCAGATCTCCAGATGCATTTGAGATATCAAAAAAGTACTCCAGGGTGTTGTTCAGCATGGGGGTGAGTAGAAAATGAAGGCTAATCATGTTTTGGGTGAACAATTCCTTTAAGGAGTTAGACTACTTTCTCAAAAAAATCCTGACAACTTAGGGGTTATGACCTTAAAAAATTTATAAATTAAGTCTATTTTAATCTTAAGAAGCAGCAAACTATGCTTCTACTTCCCATTGGTTCTGCTTATATAGATCATAGTGCCATGCAAAGCGTTTCTCATTGATTACACAGCTCAAATGGGTCACACAGTGGCTGCATTGTGTTTTAAATGTAGAGCTGAAGAGATGAAAGTCGGTGCAAGATGAAGCCCCGCCCCCTTCGGGAGCTTCCACCAATCAGATCGCCGCCGAGGCGAGAGGCCGGTCCGTCGGACGTGCTGGCAACAGGTTCCACTGGTAGTGGGGGTAATTTTCCCCAATGTCCTCAGCTCGTGGAATAATATCTCCCCATCTTAGCGCTGCGTGGATCTGCTGCTGATTCATGTCCAGAAACCTGGCGGAGGAAGAGACCGGGAACGCAGGTGCAGTAATACTCATCAGCTGCTTGTTTACTTTGAGTTGGGAATAAAGTGAGGATCGCAGTGTGTTCAGGCTGAGCGGACATTTCCGCAGCGCTGTGTCCACCTGTGGCTTATTATCAGGAGGAACAGACTTTTTGTAGCTGGCCGTCATTGTTGGGGTTAGTTTCTCAGCTCTTTATCCACTCTTGGTTTAATCGGATCTGTCTGCGCTGCGTAAAGAGGATATGGACTGCTGGTGGAGCAGGTGAACGCCTCCAATAGGATGCGGAGGTTTCCATCGCTGAGGCAGCTGATTATTTCCACTGGTTTTGCTGCTCAGGTGGAAACAGCCGGGAGGTTTCGACGCGCACCGATACCGACTGACCGGATAGGTGGGTGTGACGTAATCAACGCAAGGAGCACACAGGTGTAGCATCCCTTATAAAATAAACTGTTGTGTAATTGATGCATTAGTAATATCCGATCTGTAAAGCTTTTGTTGTGGTTGTAGTGTTATTCCTGTCACGGTTGAAGAAATTCGCTTTGGAAATAATGTGTTTTGGACTTTATTATCATGCTGTTAACAAAACAACAAAAAAATCTTGAGAGCCGGACAGAAGCATAAGCGAAACTATCGGCTGCACAGAACCAGTAGAGGTCTGCCAAAAGCACCTCAAAATGTTTTAAAAGTCAGGTTGGCTCATGTACATCTGTTCTCAGGGGGGGAGCTAGATGGTGGGCCAGGGGTGGACATGGCTACCCTTAGCCAATCATTGTCCACCCCTACCATTTTTTCCCCTCTAAAGCGAGTTGTACACTGTGCAATTTTTTTTATTCAGTCGTTGCATGCAGCTACTACACACACTGTAACTGTAAGTGCACGGCTCATGATGTATCTGCACCACCACACTCTCATGCAATGTACCTGCTCACACTGTACAACCAAAATCCATGTTGTACTCAGCTCCGTTGTGAGATGGCGCTACTCGGATTCGTCTATCCGAAAGCCGAATGAGTAGAAGAGGAATATGAAGCTCTCTATAGTGAAACACGCTGCCTTGGCAATTTAGAGCAATTTTGTGTTGAAAGCCCTAAAAAGAAAAGGCGACGACGTATTTGGACAAAGACATGGCTGAGCAAACGTGGCTACTACGGTCTGTCAGTTTTACAGAAAGAACTCCATTTCACTCATTGCACCCCCGCCATGCTTCTGTGTTTACATCTAAGAGGAAGAAGAAAAAGAAGAGTCCTTGTTTGCGCATGTGCCCTAAGCGATTTGCCCACAATTTTTGGGAGAGAATCAAATATATTTGATTCTCTCCCGATCTAAGGATTCCTGAGAGGGAGGTGGTTGTGAGAGGCAGATCGCCCCTCGTTACCCCCTGTACACTACACGACTCACGACCAAGCTGAAAGTCGTCCCGATCGAAAGATTCTCGCGCAACTGGAAAATCGCACAGTGTACGACCGGCTTAATACAAATGGTGGCAGCAGTAATACTCTCTAGTGGAATATTAATTTTAATTTTTCATATATGACTTACTATTTTTTCATGTATCTATAATTTCTTGACAACAAAAACATTGTGGTTAATTATCACACATCAATATACTAACATTAAAGATGAGTACAGAATTCAAGCTATTTTCAGAGCTAGATTTTGTGTTATATGGGGTAAAGAGAAAATTATGTGTCTCTGCAAGTCATCTAGGAGTATTCAGTGAAATCATAGATAAATAACAATTTTAATAAAAACGTATTTAATAGTTAATTTATGTAGATATTAGTACTTGTAAATATCAATTTTATGCTGAATGATTATTGATAAAAGTGGGTAAGTGATGACAATGAAAAAGATGTTCGCCCCAGAACTCAAACCTGAAAGTATTTTATCCACTACACTCTTTATCCACTATATCTTTTATCTAGAAAGCACTGATGTTTAAATATATGCGTCTATTTGTTAGCAAAGGCTGTAGGAAAGTATAGCTAGTCTTATCTTTGGCCTGACCCTGAGGTTCTGGCGCCTATCCACCTTCAGCCACCCCTCAGTGTACATTGGTTATTACTGGCCACCCTTATAAAAATGATCTGGCTACGCCTCTGTCTGTTCTGTAGCCTACCAGTGATAGGTCTGCATTAATTGTAAATTATTTATAGTAATGTCTAAGTTAAATGATTCAAGTTTAATTCCTTGTTTTGGCAAGCAGCACCTGATTGCAAATCCTGTTTCAGTTGTTTTTAAATAAATGGAGCCATACTGTTGTTTTTTAATAAATATAATTTCATTATTTAGAAAGACAATTAAAAATGCATTTTTTTAACTGGTTGATATAAATAAAATAGAATCACAACACTAATAACATTAAAACAGAACTTTGGTGATTTACTATCTGTGCAATTATAGGCAGGCTACCAGCTAAAAGGATAATAAACAAGAAGAGGTTTTTGCTAAAGATGCTGGCTGTAAAGTTTATTGATATATTACTGAATGGTTGGAAACATTGTTATGATTTATTATATTATTTATTATAATTGCTTGGTTAGCAGCCATTCTGCATCAGGGAATAGAGGGAATTAGCCTGTGAATACCAAAAATCTGGGAAGCTCAAGTCGCTTTTTTCTAGCAGCATTTTGTTGCTCCACATTGTTTGGTCTGGTGTCTCATCTTCCCCCTGAATATAATCCCTAGATTCTCTGTGATTGTGGTCAGGTTAATTTGCTGATCAATCCAGCTCTGACCAATACATTGCTGATTAAAGCTGTTATCGGTACCTTTTGGCTGTGCAGGCAGGTGCCAGTTCCTGCTGGAAAATATAATGAGTCTTTTTATAAAGCTTGTCTGCAGGTCCTCTAATATCCTCTGGTCGATGGCTGCATTTAAATTTTACTTGACCAGTCAAAGTTAACCAAGACCAGCAAATGGTAAGAGTGTGTGCACAAACCTTGACTTTAAAATGAAACCCAGCATTGACTTTCATGTGAAATTAGGACTTGCCAACCTTTTAATTTGCAGTCAGTCCCTGGTTTGGCAGGGCTATCACTGCCCCTACATAGTTAGGGACAAATACAGAGGACACATCTCCCACTGGGATCAGCTTCATAGTCATGGTAGGCCACTTCTTTGATTTTATTTATTTGGCTCAGGCTTCTCATAAGCCCACAGCCCGCCAAATGTTGAAAGGGCAATATTATTGCCCTTACTGTTAATATATAGTAGAACTTTCACACATTCAGTAATAAAATGTCACAGGAGATAGTATCGGGGTGGGATGGCCATTTAAGAAGGGGGATGTTTTTTAAGATTTTCTTAAAAAGAGGGATGCAGGAACTCGTCCTTCCACTAAATTTTCCCTTCATGTGCTATGATAGCCAGCTTCTTTAGCAATGCCCTTTAATCGATGGCCAACCAGACTATCAAATCCGTAGCCTTCACTGTGATTGAATAAATCATTGCATTGCCTTAAGGCTCTACTTTTTGTATTAGAAACTTCTCCAGTGGATTTCAGTTGCTGCATGCTAGAATAATCCAAATTGCAAAAAATCTATTAGAAAATATCCGTCTTTATCTAATAAATTGGTATAACATATTTTTACATATCTGTTTGCAGAATCTTTATTTTTTACTTTTCTTTTAAAGGATATATTTCTTTTTTGAACAGTATGTCACTAATATAAAATTCATATTAAAGAAGCAACTCTGTTAAATTTAAAGGAATTTATTGTCTTTACACAAAGTCTAAGGTAATTGTAGAAATTCATATTAAGTGGTTCAGCTATGCATGAAAATAATGCAACATAAAATAGGATAAAATAATTAAAGATTGAAGATGATGGTGCTCAGTGAAAGTTTTACCATAAATGTTAAAGTTATTAGGTAGGAGAAAGCAGTAAGTATTAAAGTGAGTCGATCCAGTTGGCTGATGAGGACGAGCGACGGCTGATTGGCCAGTTTGGTGGCATTCCTGTCTCTGTTGACTCAGCTCGTCCTTGTGACAAGTGAGAGGGACGGCGTGTAAGGCGAAGCCGTTGTCACCCAGAGGTGCACAGCTACTGGTGACTGAATAACAACTGAGCCTTTGTTGAGACGTGTGTTTACTTAAGGAACACATCAGCTTCTTTGCAGTTTCAGTGACCGAGGATTGATCCTGTTTGTTGAATAAGTGGCCAAACCATTTAACTCTGGTTCTCGCTTACATTTACTGCTTATAAAGGAATTATGCTTCACAAGTAGGAACCATATAGTTGCTTCTACTGGCCCATTTCTACGGTTCCTCTATTATAGAAATGCAAACCACGAGCAGCACTGAAAGGGAACGTCTGGAATCCTAAGAATGTTTTTCGTAAAGACAAAGTCTGACTTTGATCTACTAATTTAACCTGATTGGCTGACATGGGAGGTTCTGTGTGTTATACTATAACCACAGTTACATTTTAATTACTGAAAAAGTTGCATTTCTGAGGGGTCATGGTCAAAATGAAGGACACTTAGAGGAAGGTGAACTTAAAACCAATCTGCCCAATTATAAGGCAAAGTTCATTATTAACACTGGTTTGGTCAGAGAGCCTTGCTCAGTTATGAACTCAAGTCTTTTTTTATCTCTTCCATATACAGAGTTCTTGTTTTTTTTGTTTTTTTTTGTTTTGCAAACACAATGTGCATTTGTATTTTTGGCTGCTGAGTCAACATATCATAGATTCTAGCTATACATCAATCTGAGCTGCAAGCCAAGGCTCAGATTTTTACTCATTGTTTTTTGTTTAAACAAAAATAAACAGCTCATACTCATTCAGGTTGAATAGACAGGCTGTTTTTCCAAGTCTTGCCACAGATTCTCTATTACATTTATATCTGGACTTTGACTAAACCGTTCTGATAAATATGCTTTGAACCTCATCCATGGTCTCAAGTCTTTTATCTTGTAAATAGTAGTTTTTCCTCCAGGGTGTCCATGGATTTACCATTGGTCTAGTTGGTGTAAAAGAGCCCCCATGGCATGATGCTGCCAATGCCATGCTTAGAATGTATGCAATCCTCTTTCCAACACAGTATTTGGCAGCTTTATTCTCAGCATCGCAACTTTATTCTCATCTGAGCAGAGAACCTGCTTCCACATGTTTTCATATCCTTCTGTCAGATGTCTTTTCACTATTTTTCTCAACAGCCTAGATTTGTGCAATACATGACTAATTACCCTCTCACATGGTCTCTGCAGCTCCTCCAAAGTTACCATGCTCTTCTCAGCTGCCTCTATTAATGCTCTTCTTGAACATCCTAGACGGCCATGTCTTTGAAGTTTGGCAGTTGCATGTTTTATGATGACAATTCGAACAGTACTCTTTAATGCAAAAAGCTACTACTACCAGTGCTTTTTGTTTGACTAATAAAATTCAAAAAAGAAAGAAGCAATGGGAAAAGGGGAGAGGAGTTAAAGCTAAGTTTGCAAGCTGCTGTGTGAAGCGCCGAGGTGCTTAAAGGACTGATGCTTATTTTATCTTTTTAACTAGATGAATGAAACCAGACTGCATCTGTGCATGGATAACCATGTGCATGTATGGTTGAGTTGGTGTGTCTGCGGCTCAGAGTAAACAGTCTACGCCTGATTGGCTCTGCTCTGAAGTTTTGGTGGCTGGGAAGAGAGGGAAGGGAGAGCTCATTCCTGACATAGCCTCTTGGTGTTTAATGCTCCACAGAGCCTGAACAATGGCAGGAGGACTCGCCTTCTCATTTTCATCCCTCAGCATATTAGGTGGACATGCTCAGGTTATGCTTAAATTAGCTGACAGAGCTGGTTTGGTTATCTGAAACCAAAAAAATAGTAGTTGGAGGTGTTTACATACAAGATAAAGATCCTAGAGTCCATTTTTCCCCCTTTTTTTTTGCAGAGACTCCAGTTTCCTCTGGTTCAGAAACATACATGTTTAGTAAAATGCCCTTTTTATCCTGGATTTGGCTGTGTGTGGACAGCCTACATTTCGTGTTGTCCTGGGATAGGATGATGGTTGAGAGGGGCAACAGCCTCACTAATGTGCCTGAACCGAATTAAGCAGCTTTACAAATCAGATTAAAGGGAAGATCTTACTTTATGTAGTTATCTAGTTTGCTGCATAAACAAACATGCCTGCTCGAATTTTACATTAAGCCATTTTCTCTTCCTGGTGAGTGGATCTGCACAAACAAAGAGGTTTATTTTATGTATTTTCCTCTTCCTTTAGCAATGAAATTCAAGCTGCATATATGCCAGTTTCAATAAAAAACAGAGATGGCGCTTTTTGCGTTTATATCAAATGAAACAATGTTTCTGTAATCTACTGAAAAGGTTGTTAGCGTGAGAGAAACTGGAACGCATTCCTTGTTTTTTGCTGATTATCTGCTGCTTTAGCATTTTTACTCCTTTATGCATTTCTGATACCGAAGAAAATGCATGTCCCAATTTTGTAATCGAAGTGTCTTCTATGAATTTTTAATATTCAAGCCCAAGCTGATTTAACACTAGTTTTTCTCGGGTTTTATAAAAGCCTCTCCTGAGACATCACACTTCTCCCATCAAAAGCTGAAGCACTCTCCATGACCTTATAAACTGACTGGGAATATATTCGTTCTATGCAGAATTAAAGGCTGATCAAAGTTAAGCAGCAAACAATCATAAATTTAGAATTTTAAGTTTATTTGCTGCTGCGACAAGTACCGGTAAACCTCTGATCCAACCAGCTTATTTTTCTTCGTCAAAGCTGAAATACGTGTTTTACAGCTTCCTTTTCTACTGTTTTAGGGGTTTTTTTATTCAAAAAGCCTTCAAAATACAGTAACCATATTCTACTTCGCATATGAATCTGTTGCTGTCCTGGTTTTTCCTTGTCTGTCCGCACCCCTCAGGCAAAGTCAACCTGCACAAAGAGCCTCTTGGTGTATCAGTAGCATATTTGACATGACATGGCTGAGAAGGAATTTAACCTGTGCAGCAGTGAGACAGGATGAGAGGTTTATCAGATTATATCTGCAGTCTGATATTTTAGCCAAGTCAGAGTGACTCTGCTTGGGAAGGAGAAGACAGGAAGCAGAAAATATGGGAATAAAGCAGCAACTTGTCCAAAAAAGATTAAAATCCCTGCTTTAGCAGCCTGGTTAGTTTTTTATTTATTTATTTTTTTTACGTTTTACTCATTTTAAATAACTAAAAAAATACACTGAGTGAAATATATTTGAAGTTTACTTTATCTGTATTGTTTATATACCGTAACAGTCAATTACAATGTAAAAAGACTTAATCCTAGGTGGTTTTAGGAAAACTATATTCCTAAAATTATAATCTGGTTTTCATGTATGCTTAGCACTTTATGGAATAAATATAACCTAAAAGTGTAACATGAATAATATATTCATGGCATTAAAATTTCCCCTTATAGTAAAGCTTTTACTTTGAAATAATGTTTTTTTTTTTTTTTTTTTTTTTTTTTTTTTTGCTGTTTGCAGAGAACGGTGGAGGACGTTAGGAAGGTTTCCCAGATTTTTCTTGCTTGAGATATTTGCTCTACAAAAACTGAAATAGAAGCTGTTTTAAAGGCATCAGTGGTCAAATATTTAAACCTGATGACACAAGGCTGTAAACAAAAGAATAATGCATTATTTGATCAATTTATTTAATTGTTAGAGTTGGATAAATGTAATTTGTTTCCCATCTATTGCTAATTATTGTTCATGCAAATCAAAGTGTATTTATGCATTTCATTTAGTTTAATTATAAAATAACACTGTTATATAACCATAAACTGTTAAACCTTTGCCAAAGTTGTGGAATCTAAAAAATATATATCTGCAGATTAATACAAAGATCTATTGAGAAATTTTCTGAAATAAGAGGCTAAAAAAATCAGCCTTCATTTTTGAGGTAGTTCGAAATAAAGGGAATTGAATTTATCAAAAAAATTAGTTTTTAAAGTTACAAATATCAGCCTGATCCTTACCAGTGCAAGTTTATTAGTGTCACCTTTGGGTTTTTTAATCCTTGCTCTAATTTAAATAAGCATATATACACCATAGGTTATTTAAATGGGGTTAATTAAAAGATGAGTCTAAAAAAACAAAGCTAAAAAAAATGTATATATATATATATATATATATATATATATATAATTTCATCTTTTATATTGGAAAATGTTTTACATATAACGTATTTTTTAAGAAATATGTAAAGGATATTTTCTACGGAAGAGAATTAGGGCCACTGAAAAAAAAAAAAAGTTAACTGATTTTAAAATTTTATTTCAGTTTATCATCTCAGAATTCTGACTTTAATCTTAGAATTCTGACTTTTTTCTCAGAATTCTGAGATTAAAGTCAGAATTCTGATATTAAGAATTCTGACTGAATTCTGAAAATAAAAAAAGTCAGAATTCTGAGAAAAGGGTCAGAATTCTGACTTTTTTCTCAGAATTCTGACTTTTTTCCCATACTAAACCGAAATAAAATCTAAAGATCAGTTAACTTTTTTTTTTCCACTGGCCCTAATCCTCTTCTGTATATTTGCAATTGAAATAAACGATATAATGATATTTCAACATCACTTCAATATAAATTAATATTTTGTATCTTTATAATGAGAAAATAGCAAACAAAATTTAATGGTTTATGTGCTAATTAACACCAAAAAACAATTAATAGATAATTTAATTTTTATATTTTATATAGTCTTTATATTAGTAATATTCAAAGATTAAAGTGAAAATTCTTTTAATTCACTGAGTTAAAATATCTGATAATGTTAAAGAAAAAAATTATAGCAAATTTTTTTGTCACTGAAACTTTTTGAATGTTTTTATATTATTATAGCTTAGACCAGATACATTTTTTTTGTCCCCCTGGAGAACCTAATCTTCATTTTTCTTTTCTTCCAGGTGCTGCTTAGAAATAGGAAGTAATAATGGGAACTCCTTCCACTGACAGGAAGGCGCAGCTGGATTATGGCGTTCAGATCCGCTTCATCAAAGACCTCCACGACACAGGTGGAGTTCAACCTGAGAGAATCAGAGCAAACAGTGCGACGCCTCCATCCAGCAAGTATGGGGTGGCTGTAAGGGTTCAGGGTATCTCTGGGCAGCCGTATGTGGTTTTAAAGGATGGAGAGAAAGGGGACTCTTACGGAGTTCAGCTGTCTCATCCTAATCCCACTTCAGGGCCAGCGTCTCCATACAACAGCATCCAGAAGCTCGATAAAGAGCCTACAGATTTTCCAAACTCCTTCAGCCCTGTTGTCAGTTCCTCCCGCTCCCCTGTCTCCCCTGCAGAGGATGAGGACGGGGACATTTTTGGGAGTCCTCTTAGGAGACCTCCAGGGGACGGTCAGGCAGGAACTCAAGCAGAGGAGGAAGGTAGAGCTGGCCGAGAACGTCGGGCGGAGAGGCCCAAAGACGAACCGCAACTGAAAGCTCCAGTCAGCAAAACAGAGAAGAAAATGAACGGCACAGATAACGAGGAATATAACGAAGCTGGACTGAAACCTGTTAAATTACAATCTGTGGGACCTAAAGGGTTTAACCGAACTCCTTCAGGATTTACCAGTTCTTTGGCGAGAAAGCCCAGCCAAGATTCCTCCCCTAAATCCATCCCAGATCCTTCACCACTAGCGGACAGCGAGCCCGCTCCAGCCATCGACACTAAATCCCTGGCGCCCATCAATAAACTCATCAGCAAGTTCAACAACAGTGCGCCAAGCAGCGCCCCGCAGACAAGAGGCCGTACCGGATTGAGGCAGCGGCTCCAGTTTGATGAACGCAAGAGGTCAAGAAGTCTGGATGCCCGGAAAGATGCGCAGCCGGCAGCCATCCCCGCTTCTCCTTCATCTCCCCTTCTGAACCCTGATGCCGCTTCCACATCCGGTGCTTCCAGCTCATTCATGTCTTCTGTTCCGGCAACAGCTGCCAAGGCGATGGCTCCCGGCGCCCCCAGGGCAAGCTTCAAATCACCAGAGAAGTTTGTTGCCAAAGAAACGCCTCCTACCATTGCAAAGAAACCTGTGAGTACCAGAGAACTAAAACTAAACCACAAAAGTGAAGATTATTTGTTTTTATTTTCGTTTTTTCCTTTTGAAGGAGGTCCTTTCAAGAAGTCAGAGCCAAAACACAGAGTTTATTAAAAGAGAAGAGGCTCAAGTCAAACCTTCTATTAACAGCTCCCTCAAAGAAAGGTTGGGAAAAATACAAACCTGATGCATATAACAACTTTTAGTCACTATTTTAAAGAAAACCCTCCTGGTTCCTCAACAGCTCCAATGAGGCTCAGATTTTCTTCCAAAGAAAAGCCAGCCTGCCCACTGAGACGCCTGACAGATTACAGGTAAGGGCCGAGGTCGACCAAATGCTACATGTCTTTTTATTTACCTACACAAACTCTGTTAGTGATTAGAACCACAATAGCAATATACAAACCATGTCATTTGCATGTTTCTAAAACCTAAAGGATTCTGTCTTTATCATCACAAGTAAAGAGTAGGAGCTGATAAGGAGCTCTTAAGGCAGTTTATATGGGCATCCTTTTTACCGAAACCAGTTTTCTAATTTGAATATGATAGGTTTATTTATTTATTTTTTCTCTTTTAATATAAATTTTTTTGTCGTTGACACGTTTTTATCTCTTAGTTTTTCTGTTGGTTACCGTCATCTTTATATCCTCTAATCTCTCTGATACTTTTTCAAGAGCTACTTCAACCTGTACCATGCATATCCTATTGCAAGGCAGATTAAAATGATGTGGCTCTGATGGTGGCGGGGATAAAACCAAGAACTGAGATCGGCAGCCTAGCTTTTATTAAGCCGTGTGACTAAACTATGTTGGATAACTATGTTGGAGTTTTTTGGTTTGAGGGGAAAAGAATAAACAGCTCGGCCTGCATTAGGGTTTTCTTTCAAGCTAATGAGTTTCTTTTTTTGTTTAATTTTGTTGGCTTTTGGATCAGAATGAAGAATGAGGTCTTGAGAAAAATATTAGTTTTCATGCTCTCTAACTTTTCAACTTATTTTAACCACAAACGTTAATATATTTTATTAGAATTTTATGTTAAAGGCAAAAAGAAGAAAGAAGAAAATGCTATTTTTTTTTCCAAATAAAAACTAAAAAGGGCATTATGCAAAAGTATTCAGCACCTTTGGCTGCACTTAAAGCTGCAAGTCTTTTGGAGGTATGCCTCCATCATGCCAAGGTAGTTTTCCCTGCCAGACTGTGTATCACATCTTGAGTATAAACTTGAGATGTGTTATCTTTATAAAAGATGAGTTTTGTTATTTTATTGTTTACTTCACATGTTATAGCTGAATATTGACAGTGATATTAATTAAAAAAAAAAAAACATGAGAGGATTTGCCTCAAAACAGGATGCTTACAACAGTGTTAGCTCCTTTCGTTCCTTTCAACATGTTCCATAAAGAATCCTCTCATTGTCTAAATGTTCTCCTCATTGAAAAATGTTGTCAAACATATATATTAAAAATAAAACAGTAAATGGAGTGTACGTGTACGTATTATAGGCTATACTCAGTAGGTATATTACTTTATCTTATGTCATATTTAGTGCTTAAATCTATATTTGTGTTTTATATTGACTTACACTTTCTGTATCTTCTACTACCTTAATGGAATTGAGGTGGGGTGAACTCCATCAGCTCCTACTCGGTGTGATCTCCCAGTGAGGGGACACAAATTCTGGGAACGACACATCTATCAGCTTCACGTATCTAGGGATGGAAATGCTTGCCCGTTCTTCCTTGTAAAACAGCTCAGTCAGATAAGATGGAGAGTGTTTGTAAACAGCAGTCTTTAGGTTTTGCCACAGATTCTCAATTTGGTTTAGGTCCGAGCTTTGACTAGACCGTTCTAGGGCTGAAACAATTAATCGTGATTAATTGATTATTGATATAATCGTCAACTAATTTAGTAATCGATTAATCGTTAACTGGAGTATAGAGACTGTTAAACCTCCCTTTAGCTGACAGAGTGACCCAGTTAGACAAGTCATTATATGCTTTAAGTGAAATGAATATTAAAATTGTTAAAAAAAATATATATATATGTATTGTATAACATTGTAACATTTTGCATTGAAGATAAAAACACAAATAAAATTTTGTCGGTCAATATGCTCTATACTAAGAACTCCTCAAATGGAAAAGTTTGACTTTAGCCTGGTTTAATTTCGTAAAAAAGTGTTCTTTAAGGAACCTTTGGCTATCCGGTTATTAATTAATTCACTGAAATAATAATGGACATATTAATAGATTTGCAAAAAAATCATTATTTGCAGCCCTAGACCATTTTAACACATGAATGTGTTAGATTTTACTTTTTAAACATCCCATTGCAAAGAGGATTTGACAGCAGTCAGTGGCAGAAGCCTCAGTTACCTGATCCACTATGCAAGATGTCAATTGAAAAAATGAATGGTTGATTTCTATCTGTTTATACCTTAATATGTTGGACTACATTGTTACCCAGCTGTTGTTTGTTGAATGCACTTTCGGTCTTTGCCTGATCATGGTGGTCTCTGTTGTGTTTGGGATGGATGCTTTCTTCTCATTGGAGCAGTTCTAGCCGCTCAGCCAACAGATGCTTGGCAGCCGCTCCTGTATTTAGAGCATATGAAGTTTCTGTTTCATTCTCTTTGTCTCCAAGGCTTCTTCTTATACAGGCCAAAAAATGTGAAATTTAAGGAGCATGCCGACTGCTCCTCTGTTTGCCTTCTTTGCGTTCCCAAGAAGCCTCATTGATATAGATTGTGCCACAGTTATGAGAACACTTTGCTCTTCTCCTTTAAACAGCTCTTAGCATAAATCTACATGAAAAAATTATTCCTTTGTGTCCTTACTTCCAAAAAGCGCATGCTCTTGATTATGCATGATACCTGGTTAGACGGCTGACACTGTTTGTGACTGTGGGTCCTTGTGAATTATTCGCCCGTCCTGTCTCTTGGCAACGTTGCACCTGCAGAGGAAAGCTCTGTGTGATGAGGGCTCAGTGGTTGAGAGCCATCAATAATTGAGTCAGAGTAGAACCCTGCACCATCTGGGGGGTTGACAATGCAAGATGGGGCAGATCCTCTTTCAGAGGGGTCCTCTGGTACTAAACATCTTTTTTTTTTTATCCCTGGGTTTTCAAAAATAGTTTATATGATAAAAACCTGGATTGAGACTGTTTTTTTCATGCGGCTCACCCCCTATACATGACCACTTCACTTGTTTGTATTAAAACACAACATTTAACAGCTCATGAGTTCGGTACAAAGCTCATCTGATGTTTATCAGGCTGGATTTGAGCAATTGCTTTGACGATTTATAACCAACAATTTCCATTTCTTTTACTCTAAACTTAACAGAAAAATAAGCAATGAAAGAAGACGAGATTTGCTTAAATAAAATGATGTCTGCTTCTCCTGTGGTGAAACTGACATCATTCACTGGTGTTACAGGCCAAATAATGTCAAACTGATCTCTCACCCTGTTTGTGTCCCAGTTTCACCTTGAATCAGATACTGGTGTGTTGAGTAATCCGAGTCTGAGTTTGTTGATCCGTCCTTGTCTTGTTTAGAGGGCAAATAAAGGGCCAACCAGTTAAGCTTCGACTATGAAGGCTATTTAAATGAGCTTAAACAATCTAGAAGGGAATTTCTAACTGTCTCCTGGATCTGGATTTAAAAAATCAGTTAAGCAATGTTTAATCAGACAAAAAAATAATAATGAAATCTATAATCATGCATAATTTTTTTGTTTTATATTTAGGATAGTTGTCTTATTTTAAATTTGTATATTTTTTGTTAGAGTTTTTGAAACTGGATAATTTATTAGATGTGATGTTTTGAGTTTTTTTCTACCATCAATTGGCCAGGAACAGCAGATAGAAATGAACCTTGACAACTAAATCAGGTACTTTAAGATTTTAAATAATGGTCTTCAAGGTATTTAATGTCCTTTTTTTTTTTACTTTTAAACATTAGGATGTAAATAAAAGCATAGCAGAGGTGTGGACTTTGATCGGAAGACTTGTCTCACTAATTGAGTCACAGATACGTGTTTGGACTCGAGTTTTACTTCATCTTCTCAAATAACATTGATCCACATAATTTGTTACCTCATTCACCTTTTTGGTTACCTGCCTTTAAAACAAATCAACTTCAGAGAACATCGTGTTATAGGGCGATGGTGGCGTGGAACTCACTCCCGCAATTCTTAATTTCAGACATGTGCAATGTTAGCTTTTCCAAAAGGCTTAGACTTTATATATTTACTTTAGAGTGACTGTAACGTTTATGGAATAAAGTAATTCATAATGCGCACTAGTAACTGAAATGTTTTGTAACTTACACAATACCCAGAGATTGGTCATGTTTTGTACGTAGAATAGCTCATAGTATATGATGTGTATCTGTGTGTATGTTATTTATATGTATATGAAGTTGTATTGTGTTCATTGTTACTCAGCTTTGATGTAATATCTGTAAAAATGTTAAGACCCCAGGAAGCATAGCCACTGCTTTGACTCATTAGCTAATTGCGATCTAAATAAATAGACAAATAAATAAACCTTTCAGGGTAGCTCAGGCTTGTTAGTCTTAACTGGAGACTTGACTAAAGGGAATTTTCCTAGCTTAATTTTCAACAGATAAAATTTCAATGTAAGGAATTTAAGGTATATAAAAAAAATAAATCATTATTTAAAATTCGACATAAAAAAAAAAATGCAGATTCCATTGAGACAGTTTTTCTTCCATATCCCAAAACATTTTGCCATCATCATTACATTATTGAACATTTCAGTCACCCTAAACTACACTGAACAAACCTCTGTCCTCATTATAAGGACGTTTTCTGTTTTTATGTCTTCACACATATGTATTTTCCCTTTAGATAACAAAAACAAAACTACTGTTTCAGAGATAAAAAAAAAAAAATCAGCTTTAATCTTTATTTCTATTTAACTAGGGCTCTGTTTAGCCTAGCAGAAATCTGTTTCTATAATTTGTGTGATCCACATGAGACTTTAGCTGATGCAATTTATACAAACGACTCAAACTTGTTCCCTCTTATGTTATCTTCTGTTAATTATCTCTCTCCTCAGAGAGGAACTAAAATATCCCAGAAGAGGATTATCTACAAACTGTCCTTTAGGGGACGAGAAGAAAGTAAAATAAATTGGTGTGAAATCTATCTATTTATTATTCTACCATGATGAGCACAAAACAGCCATGGAAATCAGAAGAACAGAAACATCTGCAAGCTTCACTTGGCTTATCTTGTCTTCTTCTGTGTGCGCTTCGTTGTAATGACTGTGTAGGTGGATAAAGACAGAGGTTTTACGGGCAGGCTGAGCTTATGGCGCCTTTTCTCTGAGAGCGAGCCTTCCTCATAACAACGGGGCGAGGTGGGCGGTGAACTAAGCTTCTTCTCTGGCTCTGCTGTCAGAGTAGTGGTGCATTTTTCTTTTTTTTTTGCTTTTATTTTATGATTCTGAGCTCCCTGGCAGGGCTTTCTTTCCCAAAGATGTTTTTTTGACTCAGAAAAACTGGGGCAAGAATAAAAGCAAGGTTTTATTATTATTTTTAAAAGTTAAAAAAAGTTCAAAGCCTACAATGTGTTTGCAAGGTCGACACTAGCCCTCTGTTGGAATATGTTTACTCCGCCTCACTGTCCTTGGGCTCCTTTTTCCGTTTCTCACTCTGAACCTCTTTCTTATTTTCTTTTTATAAATATTTTGTGCAGAGGGGAGGATCCGATGGAGGCATCAAAAAGGAGAAACTTGAGGAGCTTCAGAAGCAACTCGAACGTTACAAGAAGGAACTGGAGCAGGCGCAGGATGAGTAAGGGCTCAACTTTTTCTTATGGTTCCAGTGAAGTTGATCCTCTTCTACAGCCCTTATTATTATAAGAATGTTGGTGTCTTAGTCATCTTTTGGGGGGAATTAAAGGATATTTATGCAATGATCAAGGTATTGGAACACATCTTAAATTTAGAAAGGCCACTATTTATGGTTAAATAATCAAACAATACAAATCAACTCTCATACATCACACTCATAATGTATTAGAAGCTCAAACTGAAAAGAAAATTTTTTTGCATGAACAAGAAGAGTGTAATGGAAAGCACGGCAGTGGTAGCATCATGCAACGGGCTAAGATGAGTTTTTTGATGGCAGGTCTAGTCGGACCATTTCAGACCATAAGGAACCATTCTCTTCTCTTTTCAGACGTTTTTTTCTGCAATGCAGTGTTTTTCATGTTTTTATTTTTTTATGTGCAGACTTACTGCAGAGCAAATGGCCAGAGAGGTGGCAGAAACCCGTCTGCGCCTCCAGGAAGATCAGTTGGCTCAGCTACAGGAGGAGCTGAGGAGGGTTTCAGAGAACCTACCCCAGTCAGACTCATTTCAGTCGGTACGCACAACCAACACTGCAGCTAACTCAAAATAATACTTCTATCCAAACGATATTTATCTGAAGTCTTTCTCTCTGTAGGATGTGATAAACCTGCAGACTCAGCTGGCTGAAGCCACCATGTTATACCAGCGCCAAGAGGAGGTGCTCCACCAACGAGAGCGGGAGCTGACGGCCCTGAAGGGGGCGCTGAAGGAGGAGGTGGAGTGCCACGACAGAGAGATGGAGGCTCTAAGGGAGCAGTTCAGCCAGGACATGTCGAACCTTCGAAAAAACATGGAGGAGTTCACACAGGTGATTGTCAGACAACTTAAGCTAGATTAAAGAGTGGAAAACTGTGACCGGATCAAAGCATTACTGAAACTAGAGCTTTAGTGAGCATCTGTGGTGGTTAACATCTTTCAAAAGTGATCTAAGGAAGGAGCAGTGGTGAAATTGTGAATGGAGATCATTTAGCTTACCTTGCTGTTACATGTTTACAGCAGAAGAAAATGAGAATCAGAAAGCAAGCTGGTGGAGAAGCCTGTTAGGATCACGGTGCCGTCTACCTTAGCTTTGCTGCAGATACACCCTTTCATTGATTGTACCATTTTCTTTAGAATATAAAACCCTCCGGCACAAAGAAAAAAATTAATGCAGAACTTTAGGAGTTGCAACACATCATTTACACAACTTCTGCTCTTAACTTCTAGGTGCTATATATCTTCAAGGGTCTGGTGGGATTCAGTTGATGAAAAGGAAAATTAGACCAGAGGCTAAAATATAATACCTATAGTCTGCATCGCAGCGTTCCAGTGTTCAAGCAGGAAATAAAACAAAAAAAAAAATTTCTTGGTTCTACATCAGTCTGATTTTTTTTTTTCAAGTTTTTTAGGCAGTGAGCTAAAAATAAAATGAAATCAGATAGGATTATTTTACTATATAAGAGCATAGAAATAAGATATCTGTCCTAAATTTGTGGTTAAAAATAGTAAATTCTGTCTTTAAAGCTTCAGCTGCACAATAGCATTTAATAATTCACTGATTTTGATCTGCGTTCACATCAGCGTGTGTCAGTGTTAAAGTGTTTCAGATCTAATTTTTGCACAGGTGCAATGGTGTGAGACAACTGTCAGGAAGTTCCTGACAGTCTGCATGACTTATTAAGGGCATATTAGCTTTGGCTTTGATGTTGCATCTGGCCTCGTTATAACTCCAGACTTTTTCCTTGTCATTCTTTTTAATGCATCAGTTCACGCTCAACATTCAAACCCCGAAATAAGTGGGTGTCTTGAGGTCAGAGCAGAGTTTTAGGAAAAGGAAACTTTGCAAGTTTTCATTGCAAGAAAACTTTTCTCTTTTAAAGAAAGTTCTGTCTTCTATCGTTGGGGTATTTTTGGAGAACTGCAGTTTGAGGTATGGAGGGGAGAATGTGGAATAGATTAATATTGAGATCCTAGAAGCAGTAACAGATGTGTCAAAAAAAGCAACCAGAGAACAATGAATAAAAACTACACCCTGACTGCAAGAAACCTTCTTTTATTTATTTATTTATTTATTTGTTGATGAGCTGATTTATTTGCTGGAAGCAGTATAAAGGATTGCACATCATATTTGTTAATTTATGTTATTCTCACTGTGTAACTCATTTAAAATGCATACTAATATAGCAACTCTACATGTTCCAATATCAGCTGCCTCCTGACAGGATTTTTTTTATGCATATATGGTTTTTTTTGTGTGATCAGTCACAGGAGCTGATCGAGGAGGAGCGTGAGAAAGTGAATGCTTCCCTGTTGGCGCTGGAAGAGGAGCTGGAGAGCAGCAGAGATCAGGAGGAGCGGTTGAGAACAGAGCTTGAGTCCACCGCGCAGAAGCTAAACAACACCAGAGACGAGTTAGTGTCTCTAAATCAAATAAAATTCCTCATCAGTGAATTGCAGAAATATTTCATCTTTTTTTACTGTGTGAAGATCGGCCGATTCCAAATTTAGTTTGGAGCGTTTCACAGATATATTCCAGCAGAAATCTGGCTCAGATGTCCTACACTGGAAAAACGATCTAGAAATGAGTAAAAATGTCTTAAATTACGTGTATTTACCCTTAATTTCAGTAGGTAAATGAGATAGTTTGCCAATGGAATGAGTATTTTTACTCTAAAAATAAGATAATTAGATAACATGCACTTGAAATAAGACAATGCAATTGTGTTTTCTTATTTTAAATGTAAATTGTCTTGTTCCATTGACAAAACATCTCTTTTACCTCCACAATCCAAGAACAAATGCACTTATTTTAAGAAATAATGACTTATCTAGATTTCTATTTTTTCCAGTGCAATCCTGGAATATATATATATATTTACAACATCTTAAAAATAAAAGGTGTTTTATAAATGCAACTTGATTTTAAGTTCCCATTGCAATGATTAGAAAAAAACTGACTGTATAAGATTTATTTGGTAAGAACAATTTCAGCCTCTTGAATCATACGTTAAAAACTATATTTTGTCAGGTCTTTTTAAATGATATTCATCAAGAAGTTTTCTTTGTTGTTGTTGTGTTTAAGCTATCTGACTGCATTTTTGATTTAGCAGGAATGGAGAACAGTCCAGCAGCCAAACGTGAGAAAAAAAACTGCTCTACTGCTTTGGTTTGAGTAGATTTAGTGCGGTTTTGATGAGAACCTGAGATTTATCCCTTGAAAATGGGGTTATAAGCACCCTCCACACTTCATAACCTGATTAAAATAAGTAAAATGATTTTGAAAATGCTGAGAAAAACAAAAACAAAGCACAGGTTTTTTAAAATATCTCGTCAAAAAAAAAATGCTTCCTTGTTTTTTGGCCTGCTTTTTACTATGTATAAAGACCAGTCCTCTTTTCACTGAATTCTACTTTCTTAGAGAATCTGGCCCATGACATTGTAGATCCTTTACTCTACCTAAGAGTGGATTCTATGTCACTTTCATCATATGATAATAAAAAAGTGTTTTATTTTTATTTAACCTTTATTTAAGCAGGGGGAAAAATCCCATTTAGATTAAAACCTCTTTTTCAAGGGAGTCCTGGCCAAGAGGCAGCAAAGTTACATAAGATACATTAAACATAGATACATTAAAATTAAATGACAGGTACATAAAAAAATAAAAAACATATCAAGTAAAACAATTACAAATCATTGTGGCTGCTTCAAATTCTTTCGCTTTCAACTTAAAAGCATTTTAAGATAAAAACTCACAACTTCCAGTTTCTTTGTAAAATATTCCACTCAGAAGGAGCTGCATAGCTAGAAGCTTTCTTTCCCAGTTCAGTTCGGGCCAAAGGAACAGTGAGCAACAGCAACAACAAGTTAAACATTACCCTATGGAAAAAGTTTAATTTTATAGTCAAGTAAAACTGCAAATTAAAATTTAAAATGGGAAGACAGAAAAGCTTTTTTTTCTTATTGCCAGCTGATTACTCATGAAGATCAACACTTATCACCTTTTATTGAACACCATTTTCTCTTGTATGGCCTTTTTTGAAGAGTTCTAACTTTATTATAGCTAAGAGAAATGTTAAATACTATTAACACGTATTCAAATTTTAACAAATGTTGATCAACTTAAAAAAAACAAAAACAATTAAGGTTCTACAAAAAAGTTTAAGAATTGGTTTACCATGTCCAGGACTACTGATAATCTTCACAAGAATAAACAAACAAAAAAAAGGCTTCAGTCAAAATTCTAGTTGCATTATGAAGTTTGGACTTTCTAAAGATTTGCAGTTTAAGATTGTAAAATGAATTACTACTGCAGCTTTAAAAAAAAAAAGAGATGTCAGGTTATCAGTAAGTGTGTAGAGTGCTGTGCCATGTTGATCAATAGATCAAACTTTACTAACAGCAGGCTGATATGGATAAAAAACAAATCATTTTATTGATTAGAGAGGATTCTGCATTCAACTCAACTTTGTTGATTTACAAAGAGGTTGTACTCTTGACCAATCACTACACTTTTCTTTCCCTTTTTGATTTAACATTAATTAACCTTAAATACATTTATGCATAATAGATGATGAAAATATCTAATAAAAAAAAAAAATTAAATTTGTTTTTTTTGTGTGATTTAACAACACAAAAATGATTTTAACAGGAAATTCTTCCAAACTTATTCCATTAATTCAGACTCTAGTTTGCATGTGTGAATTGTTTTGCAGTATTTTATTAGAAGGTCAAAGGTTTCCCTTGACAACTCTACCTAGCAACGCTTATTTTTTCAGTCTTTTTCAAAGACAGCCTCAAGAACCTATATATTTAACGTGCTGAATAAGGCTGGACAGTATAAGGAAGATCTCTAGAGTTACCTCCAAGTATCTGAGTATCCACCTGTAGCTACTAGACAGACTTAACTATGATTGGAAACAACCATTTAATCTCTCTCACATGGATGAGTAGCAGCCATTGCTCTTCCACGGTCGCTTCCTACTTCTCTCCTTCTTTGAATTGTGCTAAAAAATCTCTTTACACTTCAAAGCAGCAAACTGACTAAATTACTGCATTTATAAAGGCAGTTAAAGTAATTAGGATCAGTTCATTAGGTACGTTCAACTACCAACACCTGACTTCCATTTGTCTTTTAATAAAGGAAGCAGCAAGGCTGTGTTTAGTTTTTCAAACAGGATGTTTCCCTTACAACCTTTTCTGTATTTCAAGTGAAATATTTTCAATTATGTACATTTCAAAAAAGCCCTCTGTGTATCTTATTGTGACTCTTTCTTGCTTCAAATCACAGTGGTTCAATGTTTAGGCTGATTAATATAATTACAATGTGGTTTAATAAATGCTACTAGTAGTTTTAAGAGATGCAGGGTTATATAAAACCATGTCACCTTCTGTCCACAGACTAAAAAAGTCTCTTTTGGAGAAGGAGAAGGTTGAGTGCTCCCTGAAGGAACTTCAGGATTCTTTGGTTTCCACGAAGAAGGAAAAACCTTCATCTGAAGATACCAATTCTTTAAAAGAGGTAATTGAGACAGCAGCCATGAAGATAAAGGATTTCTCTCATTATGCGATTGAACTTGTCTCTGTATGTTATTTTAAACATAGCTATATCCTTTTTCAAATCTGCCATCAGCTCAACAGAGCTTTTCCTCTTTTTCTTTTTTTTATGCACAAAGATTTATGTGGAACACATTTTCTAGCACCTCTGCTCCTTCCACTTTACCAACATTATTTGTCTCTGATTACTTATCCCAAGGAGCTACAGCGTTGTCATGATGATCTGAAGCGAACCCGTGCAGATCTGGACAGACAAAAGGGTGAGATAGAGGAGAAAACCAAGGCACTTGAAGCCCTGAAGAAGGCGAGCGGCGAGAAGGAGGCAGAGTTTCTGTCTGAGATTAGCAAACTGAAGGAGCAATTTCACAGAGACAAGGCTGAGCTGGAAAAGGCCCTTGAGAGGGCGAAGGAGGTGATGCATCATCTTATTTCATTGGAAAAGAAACAAGGCTGATGATAGCACTTTAAGGATGTAAAAAAAGACTATTTTGTTGTTGTGAAAAGCAGAAAAGAAAGAAGTGCCAAAAACGTACAAAAAGCTGCAGCTTAGCTTCTCTTTCTCACTTTTTTTTTTTATTGCTCTCTGCAGGCGTCTGTTACGTCTGCTGGAAAGACTGTGGTGGATGGCGGCGCCAACGAGGAGCTGCAGCAGGAAAACACTCGCCTCAAAGAGAAGCTGGCCCGCATGGTACTACACTGCCAAGAAACAAAAAGAGATTAAAGGAAAATTCTTTAAACACAAATACTTAGGGAACAAAAAGGTCCTCCTACACAGGCTCTATCTTCGGCGTACAAACACCAGGAAGATCCAGAGAAAACTAATCTGTGTGTCATTGTCTGATCATAGCAAGAAAAATATTGCATTTGCTCAACATTTGCCTTAATTCTGACATTTCTGCCGGGAAACGTCTGCAGACGTCTCAGTGTAAGATAACATACATTTGGTTGTATGGAGCTTTGCAAAAGTGCTTAATCCACTTGAACCTTTTAATTAATCATCACATTGCAAGCAAAATTTTTCTTTTGGGGTTTTATTTGATTTAAAATGGTTATGAAGGAAAAGAATTAAAGGTTTTCACTATTTAGAAAGAAGTTGGCTAAATGCATCTGGCCTTAATAAATTTACAAAACAAACATTCTTTTTAAACTTCTCAAGCTGCATCGCATCGGGATGGAGAGTGTAGAAAGTTTAGAGTTAGCACAGTTTTTAAACTGGATTTAGGTCTGGACTCTGATGCCACCAGTTTAAAACCTGAATACCATTTTATTAAATGCGGCTGAATCATTTTGTTCTTTTCCTGCCAAAATAGTAAGACCCTAATGACCCTGCAGGGATTAAAGTAGCATAGAAATGCAGGGATGGTTCTGCATTACTGTGTTAATCTACCACATAAAAAGCCATAAAAACATTGAGTTGGTTGTTTCTATTTGATAAAACAAACAGGTTTAAATTAAATGCCTAACTTTGTATGCCATTGTTGCTTGAAGCTGTTAGTAACTTTTTTTTTTTAACTTTAAACCTCTGCATCTATATATAAAAACTGCAGTAAATAATGTTTGGTTGGTTTGGTTTTATTTCCTAAAGTGCAATTAAATCCAATTTCTTTTTATTTTCTTTTTTTTTTTTCAGCAAACAAGGCTTCAGTCGAGCATGCCGCGTAGTTCAGACGCTGAAGAGGAGCTGGAAGCTCTGGAAGATGAGAACCGCTCCCTCAAGTCTCAGCTGGAGGAGGCCAAAAGGGGCGCCAGCCGCCTGAGCAAAGAGCGGGATGACCTCACCCGCCGGCTGGAGGAACGAGACCTGGAGAGGGATGCGCTGAAACGGGGGAAAAGCGACCTGGAAGAGCAGAAGCGGCTGTTGGACCGAGCTCTGGAGAAGATCAACAAGGAGGTTGGTGTATGGGGAGGGGTTAAACCAAGGACGAAATGCCTTTTGAAGCTATCAGCACCTTCATTTCCGCTCCTCCTGCTCTCAGATGGAGCTGATGATGGGAGACTCTCGTCAGTCGGTGGCCAGCCTGCAGACACAGCTGGATGAATTCAGGGAGCGATCCAGGAAAGACCTGCTGGAGGCGCAGCGTAACAGCAAGGACAGGCTGGCTGAGCTCCAGAGGGCTCAGACCAACCTTAAGACCCAGCAAGAAGAGGTCAGGAACAACATTGGACCTCTAAAACCTGGCAAACATATTGTCAGATCATAATTAAAATCCTGGGGTTGTTTTTTCCATGGTTTGTTTTAAACCTTTATTTAAATGTATAAACAATATGGTAGTTAACATTTCTATAAAAGCAGAAATTAAATTTAATGCAGTTGATGCAAGAAGATATTTTCCCAAAATACTTTAGTTGTTGGAGGATATTATTACCTCTGCATGGCATCCTTCTTAACTCACCACATATCTGAGCACTGAGCAGACCAGCTCATATTTAGCCAATCAGAGACTAATTTTTTGTGCAGGAATACAAATTTACCATAAGTCCGTTATACTTTTAGGCTTCGCCACCAAAGTATCTTATGTGTCTCAGTGTTTTATTTGCGGACCGTGCAGGGGTCTGTGATGGTTTCCCCTGTTGTTCTGCTGTCCTGTTGTTGTGTTTCTACACAGGTTGTAAAAATAAATTAATTAAAAAAACAAAAGCAGAAAAAAGGTTGGGATAAACAGGGGTTAAAGGATCTGGTTCTTTGGACCCATTGGTCATGAGTTCAATCTCCACTTAAGGCAGCCTTCCAGTGATTTTATTATGTCCTTAGAAGAACAAATGCCGATTTCTGAAATAATAGCAGATGAGATTCCTGTCAGATTTTACTAATTAGATCTTGTTTTGCCTTTACAGATTTCTCGTCTTAAGAAGGAGCTGTTAACATGCAATGAGGAGAGAGACAGCGCTCAGCTGGAGAGAGATCTCCTGAACAACCGACTGAAACACTTGGAGAAGGAGCTGGAATCTGAGAAGAACTCCCACTCAGACCGAAGCCGGGAGATCCGGGGCCTGGAGGTGAGACTTCTGTGGTCAAAGGTCATGACAGGTGGAGTCTAAACTTAGATGAGAGTAAATCAGGGGTATGTCCATCTGAGGATAAACAGGTGTTCACAACTAATAATAGTGGAGAGATGTGAGTGAGACAAAGTATAGACTGGCCCTAATTTTTTGAACTTGTTCAAAGGATAAAATCAAGACTCTGGAGATCGAGTTGGATGAAGAGAAGAGCAGCGTGGAGCTGCTGAATGATCGCATAACCAGAAGCAGAGATCAGGTGCAGCTTGATATTTGAATACACATGCAAATAAGCAGTAGACAGGAAGGCCTGAGTATTCTATCAACACGTCATTGATTGTTTGACATTTCCTTCTGCTCAGGTGGATCAGCTTCGTTCTGAGCTTATGCAGGAGCGTTCAGAGAGACATGACCTGGAAATGGACAAGAGTGCCCTGGAAAGACAGGTATGCTCAGATCACCCCAGAGATGAATACCACTTTTTATACCCCAGTTTTTTTTTATTACTATTATTATTATGTTGCTGTTCTCCTCACAGGCAAAAGAGCTAAAGTCCCGCCTGGCAGACATGGAGGGACAGACCCGACCCACAGCTGGAATCACCCTGCTGGAAAGCAAAATCCAGGAGCTGGAGGAGAGACTCCGCAGTGAAGAAAGGTACAACCTAGACGACTCATAACAGGTCAAAAACAATACTACTCATCTGCATATCATCCAACTCTAAGTAACATTATAGTACCTCTTCAATAGATATACCTGTTTTATGTATTAATGAAGAAAAACTGTAAATAATTTATAAGGGAATATTAATGTCCAATAAATTCCCTATTTCTGTTTGTTTACCTTTTGTCAAATCAGTAAATGGTGCAATTAAGTGATCATCTTTGGTTTAGATAATTTATTTGATTGACTTTGACTCACAAAAATATCTAACTGTACAAAACAAACATACATCATGACAATACCTGATGGTCCTGAATGTCATTGTCATTGTATTTTTTGGTTTTTTAAAGGGTTAAGAAAATATTTTAAAAGAACTGTAATGTCATTGTCGTGCCAGTAGATGGCAGTGAGGTTTACTGTAACGACATCAAAGGAAAATCCCTCAAAGCATTTAATGATTTCCCTCTTCATTCAGAACATGAGCTGGTTAGATGTTTAAAGATGGCAGATTAAAGAAGAACTCAGACAAATGTGGGGAAAAAAATAATATATTTAAATAATTGCTATTGTAGTTTCTAAGGCAGACGGTGACTGCTCTATTTTACGAAGCCTTCACCAATGCTCCAGAAAGTAAGATTTCTTTATCATGAGACAAGTTACATACAAGATGCAAAAAAATAAGTAGTTCATTGAATTTTCACATAAGGATAATTTCCCCCCTCTTTATGGAATCCTTCTTTAAAAACGGATGTTTATGTTTACTTTCTTTGTGTGATATCAACATTTGTTCTGTGAGCTGAAACATTTTGGCGTAGTAATTATTTTAACTTGCTCAGTAACATAATATCTAAAAATGTGCGCTACCAGAGTTGACTTTGCTTCAAACTGAATTTCAAACACACCTTCCAGCTTAAATCATTTAGACACAAAACGGGTCGGCCAATCACGTGGCAGTATCATGATTTAAGGTGGGGCTTATAGCTATGACTAAAGCAAGAGCTGCTGAGCCCACAGTTGAATCAAAATAGTCATGTTTCGTCTGTCTTTCATCTTTGAAAGAGGAACGGCAAGAGTGTAAAAACATATTTGTTGTGGTTCTCATGCTGCTATTTAATTTGTTACCATGATTGGCTAAAACCAAACTTTAACTTCACCTAATCAGCATAAAAGGCTCTATTTAACATCCCTCATTTCCCCAAACAGATTTGATGAAAGCAGTCATACACACAATTAATCTGGTTTGATATTTAGACTGGGAAACAATTAATGGTAATCTTCAAAGAAATGTGCTAAAAAAAAAATTGCATTACTGGTTTTTAAATAATCTTTTTTTTTTTTTTTTTAAGAAATCCTTTAAATTGGAAACATTACAACAAAACTTTATGTGGTTTTATGCACCCCAGATTATCACCAAAAGAAGGAACATTCAGTGCTGCCAAAAGTCCTTTAGAAAACCACATTGTTGGGTCCAAACTCCATTTGGGACTTGAGTCATTTGCTGATCTCCTGTTTATAGGGAGAAGACGAGTATCCAGGGGTCCCAGAGACGAATGGAGAGAAAACTGAAGGAACTGAATGCCACATTAGACCAGGAGAGAAGCCAACATATTGAGCAGAGGGATCAGGTAAATGTGCATTTCTACTTAAAATACAAATTCAATCCAATTTTTCATGAGTAAATATTAGATATATAATATAATAGATATTAAAATCTTTATATAACTATTTCAATTTGATATTTCAGACAATTTACATTAATCAATGTAATTTCTCTGGCTGTATATGCCGATAGGTTTATTTCTGGAGTATTTTTTTTTTTTATTTATGTTCAGGTGAATTTAGTTAGTTTGAACATTGGTGTTTGGTTTGGTTGATGTTGACTAGTCTCTTTTTGTGTATTTGGTTGATTCATCTATTGTTGTTCGTCAAAATTGTCTACAATAATTTTTTATTGATTAATTTATATTAAGCTGTTTTATCTTGCCTTCTCATGAATGCTGACATTTAAAATCCCGTAAATAAATGAAGCACATTTTTTTCCTTTCGTATTGGTTATGTTACACCTTAAGCCATTTCCTTTGCTGAAATCTCTTTTCTTCTTCCTTTTTTTTATAATAACCTCATCACCTCAGACTGACAAGTCCAACGCTCTATACACATTAATTATTGAGTCAAAGTGGTTGGAGGGTTGTTTTTTTTATTTATTTCTTAATAATCATAAGGTGATGACTGTTAGCCTCTCCAACATTCACTATGCAAAGGCTTTAGTAGTTTATCAGTTCACATAATTGTATTGTATCACAAAGATAAGACTTTTGTGTCACCCATACGGCTCCATCAGTGAAAGACCCCTGCACCGTTGATCCAGTAAAGAGCGCTATCACAGATCCTTCCTCCCCGCAGCTGTTAAATTTATCACTGCTCCCAACAAAGTCGGCTTTTAAACCAGTTGCACACTTAGTTAATTTAATAATCTTACTGTTGCATTTTTATAATCTAAGGTATTCTTCTAATGTTAACCTTTTTCATCCTTACTGCTAATACACCTGAAGACACCTACCTGTACTCTGGGAAAATGAAGGATTGTTCTGTTAATAAAAAAAACAACCGGAATAAAACTTAGTTAGGCTTTTCTAACTTGATTCCTGGAGAGCAAATGAATTATATCTCAAAAAGATTTCTTTCTGTTGTTATTCTGGTCAGGTCCTAAACGAGAAGAGTTGGTATTCCTGAAAAAAAAGCTTTTTATTAGCGGAATTTTAAAGAAATAATTCACTTAATAATGACTAATGTATTCTCCTCCTAACCCAAATCCAACCTTCCTCAGTTACCTGAATGACCCTTGACCCTTCATGTTCTTCCATAATTCTGCTGCTAGAAAGCCACAGCTTCACCCTTATCAGTCCCAACCCACTGACCCTTTAGCCCCCTGCCTAGTGTTTATGTCTTCTTCAACCATCCTTTAACCTCCTCTGTTCCCCTTTAACCCCCTTCCTCTCCCTCTCTCCCCTCCCAGCTGACCCTCCGTGTTAAGGCCCTGAAGCGACAGCTGGATGAGAGCGAGGTGGAGGTGGAGCGCTTGGAGGGAGTCCGTCGGAAGGTCCTCAGAGACCTGGAGGAGCAGCAGGAACTCCAGGAAGCTCTGCAGGCCAAATGCACAGCACTGGAGAATGACCTGAAGTATGGCTTGGTTGTATTGCAAAGTTTTTAAGCACTTTCAACTGCTGAGGGAGTCTACACTAGATGGCACCTCTGTAACAAGCTGAATCTCTGAGAGGAAGGAATTTGTGTTGATTGATGTGTTATTTATTTTATTTTTTTTTGCAGGCGTAAGGCGCAGCAGATTAATCGGACAATCCTGAGCTCAACTACATTGAGCTCCGACGAGGAGGACGGCTTCTATGACAGCGGGAAGACCCCTCCATCCTGAGCCAGAAAAAATCCTCAAAAAAAAAAAAAAAAAACACTTGCTAGAAAAGAAAAAGAAGCAGGAGGGAAAACAAAGGTCTCCTGTTAACGACGGCTCACCTGTGAAGATCTTACATGATCAACTCTTCCAAACCTGAACACAGCTGTGATTCCTTTCTGAAATGTCATTCCTGGTTTGTAAAGATTCCCAGCATGATTTTAAAAAGGGCGTCTCTGTTATGTGTTTGTTGTTATTGTTCCATTGGCAGCAAATTACTGTAGCATGATTATTCATTTGGGGTCAGACTTTAATTCTCAACCAAAAACAGACCTCTATCTTTTATGTATGAGTGTAACCTCCTGCATAATAACTTATTTTCTTCTGTTGCAGCAGCACTCCTGTGTGTTAAAAGTGAACTTTTATCTTTTTTTTTTTTTTGACTGACAGTTTGGGGCCTTTAATCTGAGCCTATATTTTTACCGAGGTGTTGCCTCTAAAGACAATCAGATAGATGTGCATTAGCTTATTAACATCTCCATGTATCAATTTAAATCACATTGGACCACATAAATATTTAGAAATTTCAATACAGTCGCCACTACATGCGTTTGTTTATTGTGTAAGCCTTTTTTTCATACTTGCATAATAATAAAACACACCTTTGATGTAGGAAAAATAAACTGGGTGCAGAACTTTATATGTGAATAAACTTTCAAAAATGATCCTCATGTTTATACATTTTTACTTATGAAACAATTAAAATGTTCCTGAGATCATTCTGACTTGATAATCTTCTTCCACTTTTACAGAAGCTTTCCATCAACTGGTTTTGATCTTTGGTATCAAAGTCCTATTGAAACATCCAGTTCCTCAGCATGATGCTGCCACTGCTGTGCTCGCCAGTGACACAGATCTTAAAGTAGGCAGTGGGGTTTTAATGAAATAGCTGCCAAAACTTGCAGTACAAGTAATGTAGAGCTTGGGATGTTTCTGAACACCCTAAAAGGTCTGGAGGCAAGTCCTGACATCAAAAAGCTTACTTTTGAAAAATGTAATATTTGTAGTGCTTTTTTGTACAAAACCTGCTATTTCAAACCACAAACCAGCCTTTATAAGTTTTCATAAAGCTTTGTATTTCATTTAGGTACTAAAAAGCTCAGCTGCAGAAATGATGAAGACAAGTTTAATGCAAATTTTCAAATGTTGAAAATTTTGGTCAATAATGTAAAGCTTAGAAACACGTTTTGTTTTGGGTTCTTTTGGATGTGTTAATAACCCGTAATGCCCCTTTGGAGAATAGCTGTTTGAAACTAATATGCACTTTGATGTTTGCATCCCCAGAACGCATGAAAGACATTTTAATGGATATATAAGGCTAGCATTGAGCTTCTAGAACCGCCTTCTCTAATCCCCGTCTTCTACTGTATGTTGCACCAGTCCTGCCAGTAGGAGTGGCTTCTGCATATCCTACTAGTGGTATGTATGTATTTGTTCAGACCTCTATGTATAATTTTCCCCCTCGGTCAGAGAAAAATTCAAGATTAATTAAAAATACTGCAACTAAGCTTAGTTTTTTTTTAATATATATGTATATGTATATGTATATGTATATATATATATATATATATATATATATATATATATATTAGATTGATTTATATGGTATGATCTTATATAGGAAAGAAAAAGGTTCCAATGCTTAATGACTCAAAATGATATTTCTGCTCATAATTGTGCATCAGTTTGGATTTGAAAAACTTTAAGACTCACAGATTTGTTTATTTCTTTCTGTCTCTTGGTTTTAGTTGCTGTAAAGTTTGAAGTTTTTCCACTGGCCTGTGCCAGCATCGTTCTCAGTATATTCCTATGTCACTTTTTTTTTTACACCTTGCCATTATACATGTTTGTAATTTTCTAATGATGGTGTTATTGTAAATTAGGATTACATTGAAAAGATGCTATTAAATTAAAAATCTGTTTTTCATGAGTTAGTGAAATTTTCAATTTTCTTAAAACAAACTTAAACAAAAGTTGTAATGTTCAATAAAAAGGATTTCATTAAAATCTCTTAGGGATTTGTTAGTGTCAATCAATCGTTATTGTCAACTGCAATTTGCATTTTAATCAAGATTATAGTTTCAGTCCAAACCGTTTGGAAATGATTGACTGAGGCCATGCGTGCCAAAAAAAAAACGACGTTAGGCCGCATCCTTTACTCTGCCAAGAACCAACCCCCTTCCCTTTCCCTTAGGGTTCTGCCTTTATCTCAAAAGCATGTTTGTACATTTATACATTGAACATGCAAATCTAAACAAAAGCAAAATGATGCCCTGTTTTTACAGTCTACATTTTAAGTATTTAGATGCTTGCAGATGTTAAGGCCTCTTTCATCACCACAGCTTTTGGTTTTGAGCCTCACTGATGCTCCCTTCTTTTTTCAAAAACCTAGTAGTAGCGTTACGAATGCTTTTAGGTAAAACTAACTTGTTTCCAATTCTTAACATTTCGTCAGTTCATTGGGATTATTATAGATCTGCTGAGATCCTGATATAGTATCAGAATTTTCTCCTCCGTTTGGGATTGTTTTTCTTCCAATCACTCAGTTTATACTAAGAGAAATAGAATAGAAATATCCTTTGTTTCTCAGTGGGTTATTTGGGTGCAGCAGCAAAAAAGTGGGAGCATGCAGAGTCACACAACTAGAAAAAGAAAAACAAAGAACATAACCTGTACTGTAAGGACAAGCTTAAGCTGTGTGACAATAAACACCTGATTTGAGGATACTTTGGCATTAGGATGTGCCTGCAGTCAAATGAATAACTGCTTCCTGGCTGGTTTAAGTTGTTGTTGTTTTTTTATGGTTTCAATCCCCTCACAGGTTAATGAGCAGCAACATTTACTGCTCTAAAGCCATTGCTGATAACTTTCCATCCTGGAATTGCTTGTGTAATCCATCACACCCGACTGCCAACCCCTCTGCTTCCATAGACACAGTCAATGTAATATGGTTTTTCTCTCAAAAAATATGAAAAGACTCCAGAAATATTCAAACAGAAGTTAGGAGAGCATGTCTGCATGTTTTGAAACTGAGCTTTTCAGCAGTTCTTGACAGACTGAGGGGAGGCTTTTTAACCTGCTCGGATAAAATAAGAAATATACCCAACCTGAGGCAGGTTCTCACCTTCACAGTGATATAGAGAATAAAAGATCAAGGCACAAACCTGCCTACTGAAAAGGTTTCACAGCTGTCTCTTCTCATGCTGTTACACAGGTCAAATCCTACAGATCATGGGAATTAGATGAAAGACATTCAATATCTGAAATATATATTAATTTACACCAGAACTCCGCTTATTATATAGTTTGCAGTACCTTATTAAAGTATTTTTATCCTTTGAACATGTTTAACAATGTGTTTAATTGCAACTTTATATGGTAGATGGGGGCTTCGGTAAGACCAGTGATGGAAAAAAAAATGCAACAGAGCGATCCCTTAAAAATACATGTCATGACATCACTCCCTATTCATTTCAAGTGTAATAATTATATTCTTTTTTATATACATCTATTGTAAAAAGAAATGTAACTACTTAATTTATCTTTCTAAATGCATTTAATTGTTTGAATTTCATTATTTAATTATGCATTTTAAAATTAGATGATATATTTGATATTAAACTTGTGTATTAGATAAATAAATAAATGTTAAAATAATGGATCACCTCACAATGACTCAAGTTTGTCTGTGTCCAACCCCCACTAAGTCTTAAAGAGCTGCAAAGATCCACAGTTAAGGTGAGAATCTGTGGACAGAATAATTATCATAAATCTGTATTTCAAAGAGTGGATAGACGTTTTTGAAAGAAGACTTTTAGAAGTCAGTTTTGCAAGGAGCCACATAGAGGACACATCAGACATTTTGAAAGGGTAGTTCTGGACAGAATTTTATCCAACTTAACATAAAAAGCCCTATGTTTCAACCACTAACACTATGAAACATGCTGGTGGCACTATCATGCTGTGGGGATGTTTTCCTTAGCAAAGTCATATTAAATGGAAAGATGTAAATCTAGGACACGCCTTAAGAAAAGACTTCGAAAGACATGCGACTGGCTGCAGCCAAAGTTTAAGATCAAAGCTTATTACTGTGGTAGAATGGTCTAGTCAAAGTTCCACCTGATATTTAACTGAGCATCCGTGGAAAGAGAAGAAAAACACATGTTCATGGATGTTTTTTCGTGCTATACAACTAATTTTAAGTGGTAAAGAATATCCATACATGGAGAGCATATAGAAACATGTACTTTGCAGGTATCGTCACAGTTACCAAATTTCTGCTATGTATTAATTCAGAGCCTATATAAAATAATAACAAATGTTTTTGATTTTTCTTTAGCACAAAACCATTAAACAGTGATATAACTTTCCTTCTAACTATAAAAGAATGACTAACTTTTTTTTGGATGATTGCAAAAAAATCCCCTGAACATATGTGACCAACGATGCAAAAAAAAAAAACAAGAAAGTGTGTCTGTCAAACACAACAGAATCCTAAGGAAGTGGATAGACTTTTTTCAGCATCAACTTAAAATAAACAATGCAAATGGTGTTTTAATCCAATGAAAAACATATTTAATACCATAAATGACTAAATTGAAAGCCTTTGTTGTCCCTTGTTATAATTAATGCTACACTGTGATTGAGCTTCTTAAAACAGGCCAGCTACGGTATTCCTCTGTAATCCTTAGATGGTTTACAGTAATTACAGGAGACATCAAGCTGTAAGAACAACTTTGCCTCTTACAGTTTCCTCCTGGCCGCCCCATGGGATTCCTTCTCCCAGAGTCTCTCTTATCTTTTTCATTTACAACATTACAGATATATACTTAGCAGAAAAGCCTTAGTTTAAAGGGGAAAAACAATATATTTTAAGGATTTTTTTTATATTTTGCTGTTTTACACGGAAGTAACACTTGCCTATATCTTCTATTTGTAGTAAAATAAATTATATATAATTATGGAATAAGCCGATTTGTGATTAATTATTGGGATCGAAACATTGTTACCCAGCAGAAAAATAAATGTTTTAAAAAAACAGCTAAACAGTCACTTTGCATGTTTACTCTGGGTTGGGCTGTAAAAACAGGCTTTAGGAATGCGTCCCTTTTGTCAGACATCTATTAAGTTCTGGAGTCTTTTCACACAAACTGGTGGTGCTTTATTTATTCATTATAGTGTTGCAGCGATGGAGAAAGAGTGCTGTCTTTTATGTGGACGTCACCTTACAAATATGTGTTTGAATAATAAAAATGAGAGGCTATAATAAAAGAGTAAAGCACAACGTCAGGATGTCATCCACAGTGGAAGATTAAAGAGCAAGACCACAGAAGACTAAATATTGTTTGCTGTTTTTGTGTGTTCGAGCACACCTGTTAAATTGAAAGGCTGAATTTGACTTGATTGTTATCTAAGTGTTTATTTAGGGATTATATAATAAGATCCTTTTTAAATCCTGAAACTCTGAAAATGTCCTACCTCATGTCCATGTAGGTAAGTGAGTTTATCCGAAGGCCTAACGTGAGGTGACAGTTCAGTCACCTGACGTGCTGCAGGACTCTAACCAAACAGCCTTCTATCCTATTTGCAGATCTAGCACAGATTTAGCAGCAGAGATAGCAGGAGATATGCAGGATCCTGTACAGTGGGACCGTTTAATTAGGAAACTGGTGGGAAAAACGACCCGATGAGTTTTTGGAGACCAGACTGATGAGGACAGACGTGGGATGGGATCCCTTTTGATGAAGATAAAGCAGGTGTCTGAGTGCAAAATGCTTTGGTTCAGCAATACCAAAGCAAAAAGTCTGCCAGATGGAGGCACTATCAACACAGATGAGGTCAGATATGTTATAATATCAGAAGTGATCAGTAAGATTTTTTTATATTAAATCTGCTCCCTGTATCACATTAGTTGTTAACTTTTAATTTGAAATTCTAATTTTATAATTAACAAAATTAAATCAAAATCAATCTAAAAACACTGTTCTAAAAAGAGAAACGTTTGAAATGAAATAATGATAACATTTTTTAAACATTACTAGTGAAGTTATGCCTCTTACAAGCCTCTTTAAGTGTGTCTTTAACTGTGGTAGTATTTTCTAGCCAGGTTATTTGAGGTCATCTGAGTTTGAACAATTATTGGTTAAACCAAAAGTTCTGTGTATTGACAGAAGCTAGGATTAATTGAGTTTTCTATTAACATATTTTTGTATTACCGGTATAAGAAATTGAAAGAGTAATTAAAAGGGGGAAAAAACCTAGAAAGCAAAACCTAAAGAGCATAATGATCAGCAAAGGAATCTTTAAAATACATACATAATAGACAATCAAAAGTAAAATCCTTAGTATAATAGTGTATATAGTATATATAATCCACAATTAGTGAGGAGTACTCAAATAAATCTGAACTGGGTTTGCTAAATGGAGCTGATGGGATGACCAAATTACCGTAGGAGTTTCTTTCAGCAGCTATGTGAGCCAACCATACCGATACATTCGCTTGTCTGCTTTAACCAGCCCCTATAATTACTGTTTTGATTCTGTTCATTTTCACAAACACAAATCAAGTATTTATGTTTTAGTTCATTGGTATTGTTACGCTTCCATGGCTTGTGGTTATATCTATGAGGTACTTTATACCCAGTCAACCCATCAGTTGGTAGCAGGGTTACAACTTAAAGTAAGAGTAGTTTTTTTATTGGGTACCTACAGATTCCTCATAGCAACTACAATGTGTTTCCTAAAACATCTTAGTCTCCCCAAATACTTCACCAGTAGTATGTAGTCACCTAAAAGTAGCTTCAACATAATTCAAGTGAAAGTAAGAAGTAGCCATCAAATAAATTAATTAACTATAAGTAAAAAGTACTGGTAGAGGGGCTACTCCATTACAAAGCAACCATTTTTACTATTTAAAATTATGTTAATCATACAGACCATAATATAAAGTGACAAAACGATTCCTTTTGTTCTAAAGAACAGAATGGATAGGACTTTAAAATATATATATAGGAAAAATAATTCAGGCAGAAGAAACACTTCTCAAAATCTATTTTTTGACATAAAACATCCATTCTAGAATATAAAGGAAGCATGATGGCACAGTGTAAACTAACCCCATTGACAATATTTACTTCTTTTTTTTTTACCATGTATTATCTTAACTTCCATGTCATAAGAGCAGATAAAGAGAACATTAACACAGAAAAGATTGTGTAAAAAGAGATTACTCATTTTAATGAATCATAAACTGTCTGTTTATGGGTGTGTTTTAAATTTAAATGTGATTGTTCCTTTTTTAGGTAAAGTTACTCATAGCAGGTAGAGTAGCCAAAGATTTTACTCAAGTAGGAGAAATAATTTCATAATATTAGCCTCCTTGCCTAAAAAGTAAAACGCATGATGCTGTAAAACTACCCCTAAAAGTACATTTTTATTTTAAAAATAATACCCAAGTAAATGTAGCTGAGTAAGTCTAATTAGTTTCTTATCCTCATTTATTTTTAGCGGTCTTTTTCAGTTTGTTTCCCCTCTTATAACAGCTTAGTTTATCTTTGTAGATAAAAAGCTTTGGTTTCAAGAATTTGCATATCTGGGTCTGTCACTAGTTCAGGCAAATTCCATTAGTAGATAAGTAACCCAGGAAGTGATATATTTAATTTTCCACTAAAACCGGTTTGACAAGTTGTTTTTCATCACTGACATACTCTGTTTCAACGATGCATTTCTCTGGAAGTAAGCATCAATCTTTTTTTACTGGAATGTTCTGTTGTTATTGGGAAAAAGCAAAAAGATAAGAAATACATATAAACTAACTAAAAGTAAACTGGCATAACCTTGATCTTTCATTGTTTTTAGTTTAAACATGTTTATATGTAATGTTTATAGGAAAAAGTTGGATCCGGGTGTCATGTGACAGAGATGCAGACCTGTGGTTCTTCTGTTTACTACACCTGGGCAGACCAGCATTGAGTCAGAGACAAACAGAGCGGTACACAGACTAGATCAGGTGTCTGTATCACTCTGCTCCACTTTCCTGTGGTGTGAAGGAGGTTTAGTAAATAAAATATTCAGGAGGAACGTTTCTAAACTCACAGTTTTTTCTTTTCATGTTTTCTGTACCTTTCGGACAAGATGAGTGGATTTAGAGGGAGAAAGACGCTGGAAAATGGAAAAGAACGAAAGATAAGCAACGTGAGTGATGTTTAAAATCTATTAATTTAATTAACAAAAATTTATTTCACATATTGATCATTTTGCAAAGCCAGTCCAATTTCTAACAGCTGTACAGGAAACTAACCGGACAGACACTTGTGATTTTTTCCTAATATTTGGTTCCTGCTCAAATTTCTAAAGTACCTTTAAAATATTCATTTAAAGATTTTTATCTGAAAAAAAGAAAAAAGTAGCTTATATAAACTGTGTGTTGTTTTTTTGATATTTTGTTTTTGATTTTTTTGTGCAACATGATATATTTATATGAATATATTCAGCCAGAACTTATATGCTGTTATATTCACCCATGCTGAAATCGGAATGAAAGGAATTTTCTTGTTCCTTGCTTTTTACCCTTCAGGGCCTCCTTAGCAGTTTTCTTAGAAAAACCTTGTCTACCTAAACTATGACCCTTTTTACCCATTTGTCAGCATCTCTGACACTTCTTCACACCTGTCTGCTCCTTGTGATTATCAGTGTTTTATGAGGTTGTAGCAGGGTTCTTTTTTTCCAGGAAAAACTTTTAGTTCCTACTTGATGGTATTTTCACAATCATTAGGCCAAAATTACTATTCTGATTAGGGCAGCAACTAAGGAATATTTTGCAATTCAATGAATCTGTCGATTATTTTTTCAATTAATAATTAAATAGCAAAAGGTTCCTTAAAGAAGTTTAATTACAAAATTAAAGGAGTTCTGGATAGAGCATATTGACAGATTAAAATATTTTTATCTTAAATGCAAAATGTTTACATATTTTTTTGCAATTTTGGTATAATTGCTGCTCAAAGTGGGTAGCTCCCCCCCCCCCCTTTAGTTAAATAAATGGAGATCGATGGATTTCACTCGGTGGGCACTTTATTTTAGAGAGAACCGTTCATCATAAAGCCCTTATTGCATGGTAATCCACCCTGTTCAGATCTGGACAGCGTTCGCTTCCACTGACTTACAATAATGGAAAGTAGTCAGAGTCTAAACAAATTAAAGACACTTTGGTTAAACAGTAACATGTTATGAATAAACCTTGAGAAAGACTTTGGCTTGTTATGGGAATAAGTATGTCTTCTTTCACTCACAATGTCTCACTCAGGCATTGTGTGGCCTTGCAGTTGAAACAGACTGAGTGAAAATCGTTTTTCAGTGAGTAAATAGCATAAATCAATATATGAAATATGAGACATCTAAATTTTCCAACCACATGCATGTTTTAGAGTCTCTGTACTCTGGTAAATGATTAATCAAACACTGAATTATTTGATGATTATTTCAATAATCAGTTAATCATGACTAGTCTGTTTGATTATTTCAACCCTAATTCTGAGAGATGCCCGCTTTAACTCACACACCAATAGTGTTACACAACCTGCAGTGTTTTTTTCTTGACGGCAACAAATATTTCATCCTGATTCCTGTTTGTCAGTCTCAACAGCTAGAGTATTAAGTAAACTGATGTCCAAGAAAGTCCAAGGGTTACATAAGCATATGACATGGTAATTTGGCTCAAAATTAAGCCAAGTTTTAATTCTTTATGTAAGCTACTTAAGTGACTTGGTTCATTTCATTAGAGTGTAATAAAGACATTGGATCAATCTGAATACCTCAGACTGTAGCTCCTTCCTCCCACTCCTAGGTCCTATCCCTTCACCTTTTTGCAATGCCAACATTAAGGACACTATCAATGGTAGGAAAGGAGTTCTGCACTGTTTTGCTGAATCCGGAAAACTTTTATGATATGGATGCACACATGAATACGCTTATCAAATTAGGACTACAGCTTTCCAAAAAAGAACTTTAAAAAAATTTACACAAATGTAATTGAGCTGAAGTGCTCGAAGACATTTCACACAGAGTGCAAATTGTATAAAAATTTATTTTTGTTAAAATACATGAGGTGGGGTGCACCTATATATAGAATAGAATAGAATAGAATAGAATAGAATAGAATAGAATAGAATAGAATAGAATAGAACTTTATTGATCTCACAATGGAGAATTTCACTTGTGACATCTGCTCTTAGAGGGAGAACGGCGCACAAAGGAGGAAGAAATGCATGAAATATATATAGTGGATGGTGAAAAATAAAGAAGGAGAGATTTAAGGTGACTGATATATACAGTATCTTATGTAAAGTGGTTTTGTTTGTGCGGTTTCTGGTTTGGTGCATCCTGTCATGCAATGGATTGTGGGTAATCATATAGCTCCTAGCTATGGCTAAGAACATCAGGAGGTCCCTAGGCTAAATTAATGGGTGATAGGAAGCATACTGCTTCCTGGTCCTATTTCCTTCCTCACTGACAGCACTATCTGCATAGCACTTATTATGGTGACTGTTGGCTTGCTTCTGCCGTGACTCAAGTGTCCTCATTGTTTTGAGCTTTTTTAATTAAACCATTAGGAAAAAATGGTGGGCATCTGATTAAGGTATTTTTTTAGGTTCAGGTTCCATTTGATTTGTTGATTGACTCCTCCTAGTGGTCAGTTGTAGCCTACTTCCATTTTGTGAAGTGAGTTTGCAGCCTGTTTTTTTTTCGTTTGTGGCTGTTGTTGATATTTTCAGCCTTTGTCCTTTTGCTTCTGTGAATTTTGCTGTGATTGCACTTTTCTTCCTTTTTGTTTATGTGTTTTGGAGTTTTCACACTGTTGGATGCTTTCGCTTGTTGGCCAGTGTCCTTTACCTCATCAGCACCTGCTGTCTTAAAACAGAAAAGGATCTGCAGCAGCCAATATCATTTTTATTTATTTATGTTTTTTAAAACTACCACAAATCAGATAAAGTTAATCAGCATCGGAGATTCTAAAAACAGTCATTTAAAAATGACTTGAGACGCCTTGTGGCTTTAGTTTTCGTGTTGTGAATTTAATTTTTATGTCGGGGCTTTTGTTTATGACTTGACACATCTTGGCCACCGTAGTTTACACATCATAAAGTTTCACCCTGATCGCCTCACTGTCATGTTAATGTCCATGGCATTAGGCATTCTTACGATCTGTCTGCATTACTCCTCATAAAGGAACCTATGAAAAAATGTACCTAAATAATTTTTATGTCAGAATTCTAGGTTGAATATGACCTCAGGTAGAATACAAAACAGAAAGTTTGAATGGTGAAAAAACACCACTAGGCAAATCAATTCTTTTGCATATCAAATATAAACCAAATGATCCTTTGAAATGGTTCTTGCTTTTATTTGCTCCTGCATCCATGTCCATTCAGACACAGATTATCTGGCACTTTCAGTGAGGAGCCTGTTCTTACAAAGCTGAAAGAGACTTAAAACATGATATACATTTATGCAGGGCTGCATAGCAGGACTGTTGCCCTGCAACATGAGGGGGCCTGGGTTCGACTGTTGGCCAAGTGTCTTTATGCTTGGAGTTTACATGTTCTCTGTTGGACATAGGCATTCTGACAGAATAAGCAGGAGTAGATGGATGGATGGATGGATGGATGGATGGATGGATGGATGGATGGATGGATGGATGGATGGATGGATGGATGGATGGATGGATGGATGGATGGATGGATGGATGGATGGATGGATGGATGGATGATATCCATTTACCTCATTAACCCTCATTAGATTACATCGAGAGATAATCTCTGCTAAGTAACACATTCAAGGAACAATCTAGCTGGCCTGACGTCCAAACTTACCTTTAATTTTTTATAATAATGTTTCTAATCTAATCTTAATGAAACATTAAGTGTTTTGTTTACATTTCTTTGCTTTAAAACATCAGCTAGTCTTGGTTGAAACTGTTTTTATCAGGTCTTTCAAATTGAGCATAGTTTTTCCTTTTATTAAAAATTTTATTCTGAGAGTTCCAAAATCATTTAGAAATTTGTCAATTCCTTGTTCATCTGTTAGCTCTTCTATCTATCTGTGGTTTGTGAAAAGTCTGACCCCGGTAGAAATGTAATAAATTCAATTCAATTTTAATTCAGTTTATTTATGTAGTGCTAATTTCCAACAAAAGTCCTCTCAAGGCAGTTTGATTGGTTAAAAGTTTTTAATCTATGGAAAACCAACTGATTGCATCCAGTAAGTTATTTTACTAAACTCACTCTTCCTACATGAGCATGTGGCAACAGCATATATCTGCTTGCATTTTGTCATTGACTCTATAGCAATCACTCAGATCGAGCATGCATACAGCAAAAGGAGAGGAGAGGAAAAACATTTAACAGGAAGAAACCTCAAGCTCAACAAGGCGCAGTGCAAGCCACCTTCTACCAAGGCCGACTGGGGTTCAATGAAATAGAAGCAGATATACAAAGGAAAAATCTATAAAGATCTATAAAGACTTTCTATGTTAGAAACGATAATGCTAAACTAGCTCCACATGAAGCTCTCTTTAGGATAGAACCATTTAAGCACATAAGCTCTGAGCCAGTTTTTATGTCAAAGCCAAATAGAAACAGACCAGTTGAAGCTACTATGATGAGAAAAACACAGAGAACATAAAGTTAGGGGTTGAACTAACATATACTTCAGAATGGGAAGAGAGAGATAGAATAAAGCAGAATGATGAAAAATGGTTCCTGTGTCCTTCAGCAGCCTAAGCCTATAGCAGCAATTCGTTTCAAACATTTTAATTCAAAAATGGTTACAAACTTTTTGCAAAGCTATACTTATTTGAGTCTTGAAATATATAAAAAAGTGATAGAACTAATTGAATACAGTTCTTGAGATCTTCTAAAAACTTATTTTGGCGGTAAAAAAAACAACAGATTACTTTAGAAAATTGAATACCCTGATCACAGTGGACTGAACTTCTACTGTACCTAATGCATGTGTTGAACCTTCCTCTCTGTGACTTTTTTTGCGGAAAGTTCAATGGAATCCAGACAGAGCAAATGTTTGCCTCACTTTTGGCGGATAAATACATGTGAGCCGGTGCGTTTAAAAAGTCCAAAGGACAAAGAAGAACACCCCCCGGGTGTTATTTATTGCTTCAATACAGCTTTTATTGTTTC